AAAAAAAAAAAAAAAAAAAAAAAAAGTCGCGAGGACTCGGTATAAGCGCGGAGAGAGAAGGTGGTGCGGGTTTGCAAAATACCTCGGTGAGTATTCTCACGCGGTTGATCGTCTCCAACATTGACCGAGAGGGGCGGAGGGGGAGCAGAGGCCGGGGATGGTGATTGGATCGGCGCCAAATGTCGTCGGTAAAATTAATCGTTCCCTGACACGAATTCCTCTCTAAGTGGGAATATCAATTTGCGGGCATGGAACGACGATCGGAAGTAGCGCTCGCGCGACGTCGTCGACAACGGGTCGATGGAGGTGGTGTGGAAATGATGACGAATAGAAAGGTTAGTTTAAGACCTTCGATTCTTCTCCTTTCCGTTCCTTCGGGTTTCTTTTCTTCCTGTTGGTTGTACGAGAACGAAACGGTTCAGCAGGAGGCTCGTCATTTTTATTATTTGCACATGCATCAAAGACGTCTTCGTACCGCTTGTTTCATACTAAAACTCGTCACGGTTTAACGAACGAAAGGGAATAACAACTGGCGAAATTGACTCGATTACACGTCGATTGCTCTTCCTTGATACTTTCGTTGCTCCATTCCATCGTTTCCAGCGTAACACACAGCGTGTCGGTTCTCGCATATATTTTTTTTTCGTCGATCGTTCGTACCGTGGAGTGGAGGACACAGCTATGAATATTGTCGGGGGAACGGTCGATTGGCCGATTTCCCAAACGGTTCGTACGCGAGAGAGTAGTCGCCGGACAAATAGACGCGCAAGAAGCAAGAAAACCGTGAAAGAGACGGATCTATCTACGCACCGTGGCTGTATCACGCTTCAACGAATCGTATTTGTTTTTTTATTACAGATCGAAATTTTGGCAAACGATGGAAGTACGGTCACCGTTTTAGCGGCAAGTTGGAAAGAGAAATCACGTTCGGCGTTCGTTCTTCGTAAGAGGATCAAAGGAAGATTCGTCCGAAGCGCCGCCTAATCGAGCGGGATCGGTCTTTTTCGAGAAAAATACCACGCGGAAATATAAAGGAGAAGAGCGATCGTTCGATGCGACATGTGTGATAAAGGGACGTAAAAGCACCGATCGACGACGACGACGACAACGACGAGCAACGGATAACAGCAGACGATACACCGAGGAAGAAGAGAAGTGGTACCGGGCCGATTCCAACGGAAATCACCGGTGTATTTGAACAAACAGCAGAAGACAAGAAGAAAAGTACGGAAGAAGAAGAAAAGAGGAGAAGGAGATAGAGAGTAGGTGATGAACGTGGAGAAGAGAAAAAAGATCCAAGGAAGGAGAGAATATATATAACTGAAGGAGGGGGGAAAGAAAGATGGGCTCACTTTCCACGACGAGATAAAAATTGGTAGGCAAAGAGAAGAAGGGAGGGAGAAAGAGAAGCGAGAAGAAGAAGCGGGAAACAGCGGGAAGGGATCCGGTGGTGGATATATCAAAATTATCGGGAATATCGGTGTGGAGGGCAGCCGCGAGACGATAAGTGATGTGTTCGATGAACGTGGCGCGTCTCGCGGGTGGTGGTCGGGGTAAAACTGACGCGTGTTGCGCGTGGTGCCATTACCTGGAATCGGTGAGAACAGGCGGGCAGTTGGTGATCAGGCTGGCGGGCACCGGGGAAACGTTTCAAAGGGCATGGCGACCACGCCACTAGGCGGTCGCCTCCCTAACGTAAACCGCAAAGGACCATCTCCGTTCATCGGTGGTGGTGGTGGTGGCAACAACAACAACATAAATTACGGCATCGGTAACGGCAACAATAACAGCAGCGGCAATCACGTTATCAAGAATAATCATCACGGTAGTAACAACAACGGTGGCGGTGGCAACAACAACAACAACAACAATAATAACAACAATAATAATTACAGCCGTAACAACAACAACAACAACAATACCACCAACGGGAACCACTTCAGTCATCGTAGCACTAGCCACGATAACAGTGGGAGCCACGTGGACAGCAGCCACGGAAAAACTGGTTGTACGATCGAGTGTGGAACAAACAACAACGGACACCACAACGGTGGCAACGGCGCAACTACTGGCATCTGCGGTGGTAAACACAACGGCGGACAACATATCGTTGGTGGTAACGTCGGAGGGGGTGCTGGAGGAGCAGGCGGAAGAGGAGGAGGAGGGGGAGGGGGAGGAGGCGGAGGCGTTGGTGGTCACTCGTCGAGAAAGCAGGAACGCGGGCTAGCAAGAAAAGATCATCGGGATCACCGGCATCACCATCATCATCACCATCATCACCATCATCACCATCATCATCACCATCATCACCATCAAGGTCGAGAGAGATCGTCGTCGTCGTCGTCGTCGTCGTCGTCATCGGGACAACAGCGCGAGTCTAAAGCAAGCACGGTGGCTGCAAACACCGATGAGCTGGATCCGGCCGCGACGAATGCGACCAACAACTTCGAGTACGACGACAACGAATGGGACATCGGCATAGGAGATTTGATAATCGACCTTGATGCGGACATTGAGAAGACGAGGGACGAGAAATTGAGCTCAGGGACAGGCATGGCTTCTACGCCTGCCTCGGCAGCATCAGCATCGAATACCACGAATCACCATCATCATCACCATCATCATCAATTGCAGAGTACAGCGAACGGCTTGGGCTCGTCGAATTTGATCGTAGCTACGACAGCAAGCCCAAACGGTTGCGGTCAGTCGTCAAACTCGTCGTCGTCGTCGTCGCCGTCGTCTTCTTCTTCTTCTTCTTCGACTTCTTCTGTTTCTTCTTCGT